ACCAGTTTCTGATCACTTAAACCAGTTTATGTGTAACTTTTCTTCCTAGCCTTTGTGTTTCCTTGAACCTTTCTGTAGTCTTGAGGTTACTGAGTGATGTTGTGCTGTGGAGGCCTGCCACTACTGGATAATTTTCTTAAAGCTCTGATGTTATGCAAAAACTGCAAAAGCTCAAACATTCAGTTACAAACTGAGCTTCAGGGGAAAAAGCCGGAAAAAGATATGAAAGCCAGGTGTGAATAAAGAACTTGCCTGCATTAATCATAACTACTTGTGGCTGATGATCCTCTTTGAATGCACAGATGTGCTAATATTGGTGTTATAACAGGAGGAAAAGGGGAAGCAGCCTTACAAAATGTGATCTGCATTTGCCTTTTACCAGCTTATTGCACCTGAAGGACACAACAGAGCCTTGCAGTGTGATATGCCCCTGCATTTCCTGCTTAACCCTTTTACAAAGTCACTTCCTTTGGCCTTCATTTTCTGATGACTGGTACATACAGCTGCACAATTTATCACTGAACTTCTACTAGTGTGGCTCTCTCTCTCTCCATAGAGCTGCAGGCCTAAGATAAAACAATGTCAGATCTTCAGAAGCTGTGTTAAACGCCATCAACAGGTGTATATGTGTGCACAGTGCTGACTCAGCTGGCTCCCTGAGAGCCCCTTCCTTTGGAGAGCTAGTAGTAAGGTGACCTTGCCAAACATCTGCCTCAATGGCTTGAAGTACGTTACTAGTGTCCCACAGGAGCTGGTGCTACCGCCCCCACCCCCACCCTTCCACTTTCCCACATATGAAATGCCTTGTGCTAAGTATCTCAAGGCTTCAGAGCTTCATTTTTCTTGAAAGATTTTATTGCACAAACAAAAACCTGTAAGCTTCCTTCAGCCTTGTGGCCCAGGCCAGTGCACTCACCTGCCTTGTGCAGATGAGATGATGTGCTCACGATCTTTTTAACATCTCACCTGTTTCAATTCTTGAACCAGCTTTCTTGAACACTGACAGCTTTAAAGCGTTTTACTACACAACATGAAGCAAACAGTAGCATATAGGGTGGCCCATGGGATTTGAGAGGTTAGGGGGTTACGTCGTGTTATGTCACGGTTGACAGTAGTTTTACTAGGAGGTTAGATTATGCATTTGTATAGGGATAATCCTGCCTCAGGCTGATGGTTGAACTAGATGACCTATGGAGGTCTCTTCTTCTCTATAATTTCATGAATTGGGTGGTTGCCTTTCACAATTCTTCTTTCACCTCAACTATGACTTTCCATGCAATTTTCATGCACTAAAAGCAATTTCTCTTTCTGCAGTCTGAAAGCTGGCAGCAGGAGCAAGGAGTCTGTTCTTTCTGGAATGACCAAGCCAAGTTTCTTCAGTTTCAGCTGTGGCCACCTCAGTGAAGCTAGTCGAAGACTTGCTTATGGCAGCTTGGTGCTGGAGAAGATGAAGACGTGCAAGTCTCCCCCTCCTGACTACAATGCCATGGTCTTCTATTCCCAACCCCCTGTGTGAAGAACTGCTTAACAAAGATTCAGAATATGGATGCAAAAATGCTTGGAGCCCTTTCAAAAGGGCAGCAGCTGGTGCTTCAATAGTTGTGCATGAACAAGCTGAGAATGAGTCAAATGCAGCAAATGCAAATGCACTAGAGTGTTAAAGTTGGAGTGACTTGCTGTATTTGAATTGTTCTCAGCTCGTTCACATGTAAGTTAGAACATACCAGCTGCAGCCCTTTTAAAAAGGCTCCATTCTCTTCAAGCCTACTTTAATCCGAAACATCTTCCTCCTCCTCCCCCCCCCAGATAAACTCTCAAATTCAAAAGCTTAAATAGCTGCTTTTTGAGCAATCTGACCTGTTTTCTCTCCCAGGCACTGACTGAAACTCAAATGACCTACTTTCCTTCAGACTGCATTGATTGCAGCCCTTGTGTGAAACATTTTAGAGCCTTAGTGGTAAGGCCAAGGGCTTGGCTTTCTCAAATGTTCGACACCTGTAGTGCTCAAATGGCTAGGTTTGCCTGCTCAGTAGTCCACAAAATTAGGCACCTAATTGCCATAAAGACCCCGGTTGATTTCTGGTCCCCCCCAGGCAGCAGTGGAAGATCTGACTCCCATACCAAGTGCAATGTGTTATTTAAGTGGCATCCCAACCATTTAGGAGCATCGACATTTGAAAACAGGAACCCAATTAGACTCTCCCTAAGGATAGTGTGGTGAAAACAGTATAGTACTGTTCATGCCAGTGTAGGTGAGACAGAGTGGTAAGTGACTAGATGGGGACCTTCCAGGTTGCATATACAGCGAGTCCTGCAATCCGTTTCCAGGGACTGAGAAGTTCCAGTACAACAGCCTCTTTGTGGAAGCCAAGTTTACTTGCATAGGACTGGGAGATGAAAGCACTTTTGGCCCCAACTTCTTTTTTCAAGATCATCAAGGCTTTGTACTTCAAGTCTGATGGAAAACTAATGCTTTGAGGGCCCTCCAGTTCTGGTAACCTAGGACTTAAGTTTTAACTTAGCAGTTCCCACACTGGTCAGCAGACCAGTTAGTGCAAAGATCACACTACCCCTTCCCCTGCCCTTTCAGTGAAAATCTTGAGAATGAAACATATTGGTTTACACAAACAGTTGGAAGGTTAACAATGGTCAAAAAAGTCCAGTGGCCACTGTCATGCCACTTTCTTAGACCGTAGGAGGAGTCCCTTGAACTAGGAATTTCCACACATGCTCTGCAAAGTGCAGTCAAGGATACAACAATTAAACTTGATGAATTAATACACAAATATG